TCAAGCAACTGTAAATTCATTTTCAAGCTTCACCATTTTCACTTTGAAGCTTTGCAGGTTGAGTTCTACAAGCACATTCAGGCAAGTTGAAGGCAAGCCAAGCATTGGGAAAGGTTGAGTGAACTTCAGGCAAGCTAACACGACCTTCAAGCCTCACCCAAAACTCTTACATTGCTATATCCAAACTTGGCTGAAACATGTATTTGTCAAGATTCTAACTCCTTATTTAGACATCCTTAAGCTTAAGTTTGTGAAGCAAAAATGTAGCCCTTAATGTCCTTGAACTGTACATATGCATAGCTTGTATTTATATTAACTGAGCTAGGAGAATTTACATGATGAACATGCTGAAATTTTTAGGTCAGAAATTGGGGGTGATAAAATTCTCCCTGGTTTCTTAGAGTTAGATCAAGTTTTTTATATGGTTAGAATCGTGGTTTAAAGCTCTATAAGTTTCATGTTGTGAGTTTTTGATTTCATGCAAAGAATATGGAGAACATATTTGAAGTTGCAGAAGCGCGCGTTTTGGCCAAAGGACAGGGATGAAGCGTGACTTGGGCCTGGGCCTGGCTTGCCTTGCTGTTTGCACCCTCCATTGTGTTATTTGCACCCCCTGACCCATTTTCTTTATTTTTGCATATTTTTCGTTTCTTTTGTGATTTCTGACTTTATTTTTTTTCTTTCTAAATATTAAAAATCACCAAAAATCTTTTCTTAATTTTTAAATTATTATTTTATTATTTTTATTATTTTTTATGACAAAAAAATAGTTTATTAGGTTAAATACTTTTATTTTCTTAAATAAATTTTTAAATAATATTAAAATACTTACATATTTTATTTTATTATATTATACATATAAAATAATATTTTTCTTACATATTTTATTTTTTAATATTTTGTATATATTTTTATTTATTATCTTGTACATAAATAATAATAGGATATATATTTTTTCTTTTTAAACCAAAAAATTAGGGTTTTCTACCCTTTCCAAAAATAATCATTTTTATTTTTTTATTTTTGAGACATAAATAAGTTTATTTTACATACATAAAAACAAATACAAAAAACATTTTGCATATTTACATTTAATTGCATATTTAAATAATTGTCTATTTATTTATTTGTACAAATAAATTCAATATGGTTGTAATAGTTTTAGGGCTTTATTTTGTGCAAATACCCCCCTATTCAAACTTGTATCCCCCTCCCCATAATGATGTTGTAATAGTCTTAGATTTACTTTTACGCATTTTATTGCTTTCATATACCATGATAGTAAGATTAGGGTTTTGTATGCAAAGACCAAAAATCAAACAAATAGCATGACTAAACACAAGACAAAAATGCATGAAAAATGACAACACAATACACACAAGCACCCATAGGGTTTCATCCACTTTGTTGCCCTAAAATGGCCATGGTATGCATGCTAGGTATCTTGGCAAAACAAGCAAAAACAAAAAGATCATAGTCCCTCGATGACGCTATCTTGGTTGCCTAAACAAAAATGATCTAGTCCCTCAAAACTTGCTAAGATACTTGGCAATATTGTTATCATGGTCATGCGATGACCCGCGCCCGTCCCGTTTAACATCCAAAGATAGGGTTGTTTACCAAATGCAATGGTAAAACAACAATATCAAAGGAATAAAAATGTGTAGGAAAGATCTTTGAGTAGGGTAGACAACTCCTAGTTACTTGATCTCTTGCAAACCATCCTTGCTAATTTCAAAAACACACATAATTTCAAAACATTTTCCCAACAAACTTTCAAACATTGAAACATTTTCAAAAGACAAACACCTTTGTATATATTCAAACAAGAATTATTACAAAGGTTGCCTAGACAAATGCCTCTTTTCAAAATATTTTCAAAAAACCACACACAAAAGCACCATTTCAAACAATTGAAAAGCAAAAGCAAGTGATCTAAAACAAGTAACTAAGAGCCCATGGAAAACCATGGATGAAAAGGGTGCTAGAACCTTTCCTTTTCATAATCTACCCCCCGAACCCAAAAACAATCTCAAAGGTCTTTCCTGTGCTTTTTTACCTTTCCTTTTGGATAAAATAAAAGTCGGTGGCGACTCTTGCTAAACCGCAACATTTGTGAACACAAACGCAAAACCTCAAGTCAGTTCTTCCACCGCATCACACCCTGGTTTACCTAGAGATCATTGTGTGATTTACTTATTATGTTTGTTATCATGATGAAATGAAGGCAACAATTATTTTTCAGACTGAGACAAGGGCCCATTACTTTTCTGAGACTTTTGTCGCCGCTAGTGGATGAGAACCTATTGAAGAAGACATTAAGGAACATCTTCTCTTTAGGAACAATAATTTGAATTTTGATCGACGTTTTCTTTAATGTGACAGTGGGAAGGATATGGTCAAACGAGGACGACTTGACTTAGTTTAGCATCATAATTCGAGACTTTACCATTGGGTTGACTTTGAAATAGTAAGGATCCTCTCCATATACATTCATTCAAAAAAGATGGACGATGTTCGCATAGAGGTGAGCCCGTCTTTTGATTGGGCAGTTTCCCATATTGGCAAGGGAAAACGAATATACATTCGTTACGACGAGTGTGTTATTCCTTTATATGGGTGTCTTTTCACTCTGTTGAAATTGAGGTTACCCTTTACTAATTTCAAGGAGGGCTTGCTAAACCACTTAACCATATTTCCTTCTAAACTTCATTCATATGTTTGGGCCTTTATAATGATGTTTCGGTATTGGTGTGAGTATCGAGGGGTCGAACCATCTATTAAGCTCTTTTTAAATTTGTTTCTCGTATCCCACACTTCGAGAGACTATGTTCGCGGTCAAAGAATAATTTTCATTTGTTAGTTGAACAAGATGTTTGGTGTATACATGGACAACTGGAAGAACTTCAAGGACCGTTATGGTTTGGTAACTCCCCTGAGTCCGTGGGTTCATTCAGTTTTTCACAAAGTTGGCCGGGAGGCTCTAGCTTCACCTCCCAACCCTCGATGCCCGAAAATAGTTAGGAAGTACCTGTCTTGGGACCATTTTGAACATGAATCCCTTGAATATTCTCTTGATGATAAACTTTCCTTAGACGAGGAGGAAAAGAGCCCTGAAGAAGCAGAATCTATGAAGCAACAAAGACGAGTTGTTAACTTTCGGGCTATCTTGAATGCTTCTAATGTTGATGAGAGGAGGAGAATTTTGCGCGATGAGACTTTTTTTTGTGACTGATTGTCCCTCCTTGTTTGCAAATTCAATGACATTTCTTAGGAATCTTTATGAGAGGATGAAGGATATGGAAGTTATGAGTTCTATCAAGGTTCTTCCTTATTCTCGTCCTTCTAATTTGACTTTCGAACAACCGACTTAGGACATCGCTAATCATCTATCTCCTGACCTTGTTGTATCATAATATGCCCTTCCTCCTACAAGTTTAACCAATAAAAGCGAAAGGAGGAGTAAGAAGTCTCATGACCGTCTTCCTTCCATAGTAGATGGCTACAACAAAAGGATTCAAGACAAAGATCTTGCCGCCAAAAGTGCTAAAAAAGATGAGAACTTCTGATTCTTGTTATGTCGGGATTTCTCTCGAAGCTCCTAATGTTACGATTGCTAATATTCTTGTTGTTCTCTCCTCTCGGGTCCCTCGAACGTCCTAGGAAGTGTGGAAGTCCTTCTTGGAGCAGGCTACCGCATACGTCCATAATCTTTCTGATATTGGGAAGATGTATTTGATGGTCGAGATGACATACCATTTGTTTTGCGAGGCGCTTTTGCTAATCATGATTGCTTCCAGACGAGGTGACATGCTTGTGTCTAGTGACCTTCTCAAAGAAAAGAGGGAGTGGAAGAGTAAGTGTGAAGCAGAGTACCTTTCAAGAGAATGTACCTAAACTTCAAGCAGAGTTGACTTAGTCTATGGAAGAGGCTGGATTCTGAAAGGATAGGGTTGACAAGCTTTCAAATCTTCAAAATGAACTAGAGGCTCACATTACTCCCCTCGACTTAGCGGCAAAAATCATCGATCAACTCTATCTTTGACTTTTTAAAAATTTTAAAAATTAGAAATTAGGATTTTAAATTTTTCTTGTAATTTATTTTTCAATTTAAGATCAAGTTTATATCCAAAAAAAAAAAAAGAGTTTATCGTGTGGATTTACATTGGTGTTTTGAAATTTGGTATCTAAGTTCACTAGAAGAAATAGAATCGATGTTGAATATGGGTACATGAATTCAAATATGTGATCTTGGGGCGATGATGACATAGGTCGTCATAGAAGGTCCCAAAGGCGAGTAGCAGCGGGAAGATAAAACCGATGTCTAAATAAACACGTGAGTGGCATCTCATTCCTTTGTTCTCTTTATTTTTCTTGTCACCGTCACCCTTTTTATACACATCAATCATTTTGATTCACATGAAAAATAAACTAATCTCTTCATCTCATAATAATTGTCCCATTTATATTTTTTCTATGTCTCAAAATAAATGTCTTTTTAAAATATTAATACAACATTTATTATTTTTTTCCACTACTATATTCTTATTTATTAGCTTTCACATTTTTCAACTACTCTACTAATTATAATAATAAATGTGTTTTAGTAAATAATACTAATTTTATCATTAAAATTAACATATTTAATCATTTTTTTAAGAACCGTGTAGAGCTCAAATGAAATATTTGTTACGAGAAGGAGGGAGTAATCTTCTAGACCAAAAAAGTAAAATACACTAGTCTTGCATAGTTACATCTTGATCTAAGGGTGTATATGGATAACCAAACAATGTGAACCAATCCATTTTTATGGTTATGTTTATGAACCAAAACCCATTTTTATGGTTATGTTTATGAACCAAAACATTTGAAACTGCTACGTCAACTCTTAATAATCAATATTCCAGTTGAGGTCTTACAAATTTTCCAATATATGCACAACATAGAAATTGATCCCATTAACTTTAAGCATCAATCATGAGATCTGTTACACATCCATCCTAAGTAGCATTATGAAATACTCTCACTCTTGCCATTGTTGCCTGCAAAAAATGCAAATATATTGTACTTTTAACACCCATACAAATATATTCATACAGTTGAGACAGAGAAACATATTTATTGAATACTGGTTGTAACAAGTTTATAAATTGTGGACCTGTTTTTTCCAATCCGTACGAGCAGTAATAATGGAAAGGAAAATTGTCTGCACGATGGAGCCACAGACTATTCCAATCCAAAGACCCTTTGCTTTGAAATGTACAACAAATCCCAGTACAATGCCTACAGGAATTCCTACTAAATAAAACGCTCCAAGATTCACATAGGCTCCAACACGTTGCCACCCACTTCCTTTAGCAGCCCCTGATTATTGAAGAAAAGGATTGATCATATATTCGTAAGTTTGCAGCAGGATAGAAACGAGAGTTTAAGTCTTGTAGTTGACATACAACCAAATGTATATTACTTTAACAACATTCCAATGTATAAATGTATATTACATAAGTTACTTGTGTTAATTACTCAATGATAAACTTGTACACGTGCTTGAATAATTGTACAGATAGAACTTTGCAATTTGTAATAAAGTATAGCAAAAGTAGTGTAAAGAAGAGCTGTTAACCTGAAAGAACAGCTTGTATGCTATCTGTAAATATTGATGCACACAGAAAAGGGGTCATAACAGCCACATAATGAACTAGCACATTGTCATGGGTATAGGCATAACCCAAGACATATCTGCAGCCAAACAGGATTATGACGACAATAAGAGCTTCTATCAGTGCAAGGATCATAGCCGTACAAACAGAAAAACGACCTGCTTTTGGATTTCCTGCCCCTAATTCATTTGAAACTCGTGTGCTGTCACAAAACAAAAAGGTCCCACATAAAGTGATAGGACCCACACATGTTTCAACCAATAAAGGAGTGAGCGTTTAAGTGTTAAAAAAAAAGTGTTCTTAGCATTTCTCTACTTTTAATTTTACTATGTTTACGTGCTAGTATTAGTGTATAGATAAAATTACCATATAGTTTGGTGAAGAGAGAAACGAACCTAGTTGCAGCCCCAAGTCCAAAAGATATAGTGAAGTGCAGCGTAGAGATGGACATGCTGATCAAACACCCATGGGAAACTTAGAGATTAGTGGTTTTATTTTCTTCTTGTTTGATGTAATTATATAGGAAAAAAAACTTGAGTAAGCATATCCTGAAATCAAATTATGTTACCATAAAGAGAGAACTGATGTCTCCAACTTCGGATTGGGAAGAAGTCCAGCTAGCAAAAAAATCACCTCACAAGCCCACCATTTGAGACTGAAAGAAGACAGACAATTGTTGAAGACAGGTGTGTATATATATATGGTAAAACAAGTAACCATGTCAGCTAAGTCATGAATGGTTGTGCTGAAAAAATAAAAACTTTGAGAGTAATATTCATGACTTTTTTAATTAATGAGAAAAGAAAAAGAGAGCAATAAGAAATAGTAGTTACCAAACCATAGCAGCAGAAGGAACAGCAAGGGCAAAGAATTCTCTAAATCCAAGGAAAGCTTTCTTTGAAAATGGCACACGTGTTCTCTCAGAAGCAGAAGAATACTTGACGAAGTACAAAAGTATTACCACATTCAACCAAATTCCTAAGCTGAATGCAATTGCGGTGCCAACAGATCCCAACGCCAATTTAAATACTAAGATCCAAGAGGTAACTCCATGGAAGCACAAACCTATTAAGGAGCTTATAATCATAGGAGAAAGGATCCTTTGTGTCTGGAAAAAACGTGTTAGGGGTTTGAGAATTGCTGAGCCAAATAGTCCTGGTATCAGCCAAAGAGCATATGTACGAGCTTTGATGGAGATCTCGGGGTCTTGGCCAATGAAAACTAAGATTTTATCTATGAAAATCCATAAAACAGTGATTGGTGCACAAACCATGGCGAGGGACATTACAGCAGTGTATGTGTATATTCCCAGTTTTTCAAATTGGCCAGCTCCAAAAGCTTGACCACATAAAGTTTCTATTCCACCAGCCATCCCTGACTGCAAAAGTATTGACATAGTTGAAAGAGTGATGCACATTCATATGAGTACAATGTTGTTAAAATCCACAATGTCCAACAAACAAAGCAAAACATATAATCAATCAAAAGGGCCTTTGCTTTGAAATTTAAAGGTTAACCTTTTGTCAAACAGTTTAACTACAATGGACATTTTCCATGAAATACAATCTTCCATTATTACTTTCCTTGTGACCATACCAACAGGAAGAAACAAAGACTCCTATTTCACACTCTACCAGCCGTGGTGGTTGGTGGCGGCTGGTCGTCATAGGTCCGGCGGCCGGCAGCCTCACCGCCACTACTATTATCAATAGTAAATATTGAAATGATAAATAAAAGTAAAAAATTGTTTTAGTCTATAAATAAATTTATTATTTATAACTTAAATAAATATTTAATTTTCAAATATACAATGTTCCATCTCTTTCCCTTTATTCAAAGTTCTTTTATCATCATGATTATCTTTGGTTTGTTGAAAGTCGTGGTCTCTATTTTAATTATAGAGACCAATTCTAAAAAGTAGAAAAAATTTACCAACAAAAAATATGAAAGTTATTTAAATTGTAAATAACATAAAAGTTAAGAAAATTAAAAAACTTGTTAAGAAATATTTTAACAAATGCAACTATAATTTTCATTTTTTTATATAAACTTTTTCTAATTTTTTTAATAGTAACGAGATATATATATATATATATATATATATATTGAAGACTTCCAAATATTCAAGTTCATGTGCTATGAGTCTAGTTGGGGTTAGATGTGGTTGTGATTGATGGATTGTGAATATTGATTGAGAAAAATATGAAATATAACATTTAAAAAAATGTTAAAATTAAAATATTTTTTTGTCTCAAGTATTTAATTCCTAAATAATTTTAAAAAGATATATAATTTGATATTTTAAGAAAAATGTGTAGTTTATTTTTTTTAAAAATTATATAAATTTCATAGAAATGAAAATTTCTACATTTTTCTCATGAGTATAAATCTAAGAAAATTATGAAAGTTGTTTCATTTAAAAAAAATTATTCTTAAAAATAGTTTTTTTCAACCTTGTAACATATTTGAGAATAATTATTTTTTATTTATATTTTCACAAATGTAATTTATTGACAAACATGTTCCAATAACTTAACACAACTATTTATCTAAATCTTTTATTTTATATTTTAAATTAACTATATTTTATAAATATTTTTGAAAACTTAAATTATTTATCAAACATAGAAATAAAGTTTATGACAATAATATTCTCTAGAATGATATTTCTAAAATTGTAGTTTTAATCATTAAAACAGATTTTTTTTAGCAATAACCAGGTATTAAAAAAAACTACACAAATAACTATGTTTCGGAGAAAATTACACAAATAATTATGTTTCAGAAAACTTCACAATGGAGGAGCCAAGTGAAATGGCGCATGCAATTATCTTTTTGCCTTAGGCGCCATCTCACTTGACGCATGCACTTTGTTTTAGTCAAGTGAGACGGCGCATGCACTATAAAAGGGAGAGGAGGCGTCATCTCACTTGGCTACTACGTGCAATTGTATTTTCTATAAATAAATAACTCATTTCTCCATCATTCTTCACACTTTCTCGCATTGTCTTCTTATTTTTTCTTAGTTATTTGCGTTATGACATCTCCCATGATTTTCACCAGAGATGGATATGTTATTTTCTCGACCACCAAACCTTCGATCAAAAATGAAATTTTGGCACATCCACTCCATGGAGCGTCTGAAGAGAGAGTTGATGCGGTGGCTAGAGGGAGACATCGAGGTTGGAGAACAAATTAGAAGGATCCAGAGAAGAACAACAACCACCTCATTTGCAATTAAAAGACCTAATTTTTGGCTGGAGAAAGTCAGAACAGACGGAGACGTAATGGTGATGATGCATGTCTCAAATGAAATTGTTTTGACGATTGTAATTTCTTAGACGTTTTATCATGTTTTTATTTGTTGTTTTTCTTATGGTTTGTTGTAACAAATGCTCTTAATGAAAACAATAATGTTTAGAACTTAAAAAAGTGCAGATGGTTTGCATACAATTTTTAAGTTGTCGAGCTTGTAGCCCGAGTGGGACAATTTTTTCGATTGTGTCCGACCTGACGATATAAACCACACTTTCTTTCTAGCTTGTCAAGGGAGTCCATTTCAGTTGTGATACGCTTTCTTTTGGGACGACCATTTTTATTCCTTTGCATTTGATCGTTGTACCATACTATTTCTCTGTCGTATGCAGGCCAATAATCAGGTTTTGCTACCAATGGGAAACTATTATTGTATACGTCGAGCAAGGTTTCAGACTTATAAATGGGAGATAGAAGTTGTAATGCGTCTTGATGAGTATACGCACTTGCCACAATGACATGAGATCAAGGCATACGTAAGGGTTGAAACTTGCCACAATCGCACCAACGAGATGGTAGTATAACTCTATATTCTTGTCTTGGCAGCCCCTCGTTGTGGTCGATTGTATCTTTGACAATGAAGTTGTGGTTGTGTCGGTCGAACCTTATAACCAGATGGGTGTTGGCTTTGGCACTTTCTGCCTTAATATACTTCATGCAACTTTCACTCCATAGTAGTCCCGATTGTAAGATCGCATTCCACATTTCACCTTTTTTGACAAACAACGAAGCCAACCTAAAATATGTTGATTTGACCAAAGCGGTTACTGGGAGGTCTCGTATGCCTTTGAATACACCGCTCATGGATTCAATAAGATTTGTTGTCATGTGGCTCCATCGTTGTCCATTGTCGTATGACCTTGTCCATTTCTTCACCAGAATATTATCGATCCACCTACCTGCGTCTGAATTTGACAATCTGATCTCGTTGCGATAATGTTTGAACGTAGGTTGTGTTAATGCATACCCCACTTTCATAATTGTTTTCCCAAGAGCCTTGTCTTTGATCTCCCTCGTGAAATTTTGTACGATATGTCTAGACATGCGTAAAAGGAGGGTTATGTCAACCGTTTGCAGGATTATTGTATGCACTCTCAATAGACACATGTCTGTCGGAGATCAAGTAGATATCAAGTTGAGGAGCCACATGTGTTCGGAGATTCCTGAGAAAGAAACTCCAAACACCACCAGTATCTCCCTTGACTAGAGCAAAGGCAATTGGGAAAATGTTGTTGTTGCCATCTTGTGCAACTTCCATCAATAGCGTGCCTTTGTATTTCCCGTACAACCATGTTCCATCAATTTAAATAATAGGTTTGCATGACACAAACCATGTGATGCAAGGTTGAAAAGCCCAGAACAGTCGACTGAATATTCCATTTTCGGTGGAGACCCGAGACACACACATTTCATCTATCAATAGGTGAATGTACCATCACACTAGAGGACATGTACATGTTATTGGGTTTCTCTATCGATGGTAAGGCGGTTAATGGGTAGGTTCAATAACCCAATTCTCTATGTGAGAAATTGTTGGGCAAAGATATGGTAGAAGGTAGTGGTGCTAGAGGCCAAGGTATATTACTAACTGAACTAAAAAAAAATTATGCGACTCTTGAGTTGAATGAAAATTCGTCTGAGCTAGAAAGAGTAATAAAAGCTAGAAATTGTATGATGATACTATTTGGAAGCTTGTTATTTCCTAAAAGTACAGGGAATGGTGTAAATTTTATGTGTTTAAGTTTGCTTAGGAACTTTGAAAAAACAAGAAAGTATAGTTGGGGTTCTGTTGTTTTAGCCCATCTATACAGCTCTTTGTGTAAAAATGCAACAAAGGATAAATGTACTTTTTATGGACGCGCTTTCTTACTCCAAGCCTGGGGTTGGTGGAGAATGGAGTCCCTAAACCCCGTCGACAACAACACATTCATTTTTCCATACGCAATAAAGTAAGTCAAAAACTTAAATCATTTATTATTCATCATTTCGCCAAATATATGTTTAAAATAAACTATTTTACAATTCCTTTAGGTACTGCGTGACGGGTATGGATTACGGCAATAATTCAAGATTCAATATCGCTCTATATCGTAATCTATTGGATCACTTTGGCCCGGATGATATACGTGGTACCTTTGAACTTTTCTACTTTTAAATTATTTATTTATTACGTTTTCATTATGCTGATTTAATTTTATCCACAGTTTATCTGAAGACCATATTTGGGTTTAGACCATGAACCAAACCCCGAGGATGCAGCAGTTTAGACTGCAAAGACTACAATCATACGGTTCAACGTTGTGAAGATGCACCACAGCGACCGTGTCAAGATGCAGTTCAGAATGCATCAAGAGATACCATGTGATCCAACATGTTTGTCTCCCTGACATCTCAAAAGGGTCGACGCCCAATAGGGTCTTACTAATTGAAAATATTTTGCTTTAGAATGGTGTAAGATGTGGCATAGGCGTCACCAACATGTCTTGCAATTCTATGTTTTCCTCAACCAGAATAATATGCGACACACGGATCAATATTTTGATTGATACAGATCGGTTAGTAACCCAGAAATGCACACGTCTCATTCGAGGTAGTTGGTTGACCCACGAACACAATGGACACAAACCTCAAATCCCCAACAACAAACCCAACACACATCAATCTCCCACCAACCACCCCGACAATACAGATCCACAACCACCCAACCACAATCACCACCTCAATACGAATACACCCATATGCCCCACACTCAACCACAATCACCACCTCAATACCAATACCCCCATATGCCCCACACTCAATCCCAATCTCAATCGCAATACCAATACACCCACATGTCCCACACACAATTCCAGTCTTCTCCATATCCCAATATGGGCCCCTCATCATCTCATCTTAGCCCTGAGCTGGAATTTCCCGAAGAATATGACCCAACCGACCCAACTTACCATCAACCACCACATCACCATAGCATCCAACAGTCGTAATATCAAACACCCCAAGATTTATTTCCTTTTTACCCCCTTACTCAGACGACCAGTGCTATAGACCATCCATGGAACCCCACCCCCCACCAAGACGACCAAACTTTGAGGGCATGGGTAACCGACTGTACCAAAGTGGATCTTCCAGATATGGTGATCTGACCGATTTCATAGATCCCAAACGCATTGATTTCGCTGGGCCATCGACCCAACTGCAACAAGAAAATCGATGAAACCCACCACGAGATAGGTGAGGACACGGATGCGGAACCACTGGTCGTTACCGAGTTCCGGGGGACTGCAAATTAATATGTATGGTTTTTTTATTATGTAATTGTTTTTTGTTAATGAAAAGTCAAAGTTTCGTGAAACTATATCGTTTACCTATTGTCTCGTATTTAAAATAGAAAGCAAAAAAAAAAATTACATTTCAATTGCACCTAGGCACCATCTGAGAAGGCTTAGGGCAAACATGTTGCACCTAGGCGTCATCTCACTTGGCGCCTCCTTCTTAAATTTAGGTGCATGCGCCATCTCACTTGGCGCCTCCATTATGAAATTTTCTAAAACATGATTATTTATGTAATTTTCTCTAAAATATAATTATTTGTGTATTTTTTTTTAATACTTAATTATTGCTTAAAAAAATTCCTTAAAACAAATAGACTCTTAGAGCTAACTATCAATAAAAATGGAGTAAAAAAAAAAAGAAAGAAAGAAAAGTTAGAATGAATACTAAGTGCAATGCAAAACAAATGATGATAAAAAGCTTACCAAAATACTAAAGCCGGAAACATTAGTGATAGATGTAGCAATGGAAACACTTGAAAGAGACAACTGATTAATATGTCCAACCATAATAACCGATATTACTTGCAGAAGGTTCTGCAACATAGACGAGGCCACCATTGGTCCAGCTATAGTAACTACTTTCTTCACTTCCACCATAAATGTTGTTCTTATTTTCTTCCATTCCAATTCTCTTGTTTCTGACCCTTCTTCCATTTCCATAGCTTATTTTTGGTAAGCTATTATATACTTTTTGTCATGGATTCTACTCTTGTGCTTTTCAAATTTTATTTTGGTTTTTGGTTTTATTTTTATATGCCGTGTTACTTTCTTTTTTTTGATTAAAATGCCGTGTTACTTTTTATTTAAGAAGACTTTCCTAAGACATGTGTTTTAGGTATTTAAACATCTTGAATGAATCTTAAATTCTAATAACTACATAACTTTAAACTCATAACACATAGAGCTAGCTAGCTAAGATGGTTTGGTCCCCCATCAAAGTCATTTAAATAAAAACTTGTTTTGAGACGCTAACTCGAGGACGATCCGCAGTTCTTTATCGATAATCCGCAAATTTTAATAAAATAAATAAATAAATTTCTTTTGTTAACTATTTTTAAAAACTAATCAATATTTTTTATTAAAAAAAGAATTATTTAGTGATATTTAAATATATACTCACAAATAAATAATATCTCAACAAAAAATATTTTATGATGTCAAAGCATATATCTACAAATAAAAAAAAAACATATATATATATATATATATATATATATATATATATATATATATATATATATATATATATATATATATATATATATATATATATATATATATATATATATATATATATATATATATATATATATATATATATATATATATATATGAGAGAGAGAGAATGTGTTAGTGAAAAGGAAAACAAATCTAAACCAATGAAAAATGAATTTACCTAGTAAAAGTTGTGATGGTGTACTGTGAGAATGAGATGAAGTAGATCGAACATATGAATGAGAATAATATGGAGTTAACATAAATGTTGAGTTATACTGAGAATTAAATAAGTGGTGAAATTGGTAATGGAATGAAGATAATGGAGAGAAATAGGGAGTGGTGGGTTGATTATGAAATGAAGTTATTATTAGTGGTTTCTTAATTGATTAAATAATAGATTAATAAATTAATTAGAATAAAATTTTTTTTTTGGTTAAGTAGTTCAATGAATATGGGGTGAGTGGTGGGTTGATTATGAAATGAAGTTATTATTAGTGGTTTCTTAATTGATTAAATAATAATTAATAAATTAATTAGAATAAAAGTTTTTTTTGGTTAAGTAGTTCAATGAATAGAATTTATCTTGTTAAAGATGAATAAGTGAAATTGTGCGGTTCAAATTCATAATTAGAAGAAATATTTTGAAGGAAAGTTTTTGAAGAAAATCTTATAGAATTATAATTAAGTACTCTCTTTTCTTTTATAAATAAATTTATATATATATATATATATATATATATATATATATATATATATATATATATATATATATATATATATATATATATATATATATATATATATATATATATATATATATATATATATATATATATATATATATATATAAATATTATTCAATGATTTTAAAAAATGAAAAATTATTTATAAAAGAGAATGAAGGGAATATTGAATTTTTTTGCAATAATCAGGTTTTGAAAAAAAAACCCGCAAATAATCATGTTTTAGAAAAAATTACACAAATAACTGTGTTTCAGAAAACCCCACAAAGGAGGAGTCATCTCAAACCGTGTTACGTAAACGATATAGGATCACGAAAATTCGAATTTTTATTTAAACAAAACGATTACATAAAAAATACAAAATAATCAGTGGTCCTCCGGAATCCGGTAACGACCCGCGGTTCCGCATCCGCGTCCTTTCCTTTCCCATGGTGGATTTCGTCGCATTTCCTGTTGTGGCAGGGTCGATGGCCCAGCGAAGTCAATGCGTTCCGGATCCATGAAATCGGTCAGATCTTCATATCTAGAAGATCCGCTTTGGTACAGTCGGTTACTCATACCCTCAAAGTTTGGTCGTCTTGGTGGTGGGCGGGGTTCCATGGTTGGCCTATAGCACTGGTCGTCTGAGTAAGGGGGGTAGAAAGGAAATGAATCATGGGGTGTTTGGTATTGGGAATGTTGGGTGCTTTGGTGATGTGGTGGTTGACGGTAAGTTGGGTCAGTTGGGTCATATTCTTCAGAAAATCCCAGATCAGGGCTAAGGTTAGATGTTGAAGGGCCCATACTAGGATACGGAGATGATTGAAATTGTGTATGGGGCATGCGGGTGTATTGGTATTGTGATTGAAATTGTGGTTGGGTGTGGGGCATATGGGGATATTGGTATTGAGGTGGTGATTGTGGTTGGTTGTGGGGCATGTGGGTGTATTCGTCTTGTGGTGGTGATTGTGGTTGGATGGTTGTGGGTCTATTTCATCGAGGAGGTTGGTGGGAGGTTAATGTGTGTTGTCGGGGAAACGAGGGTTGTACCCATTGTGTTCGTGCGTCAACTAAATACCTTGGATGAGACACGTGCATTTCGGGGTTACTAACCGATATGTACCAAGCTAAATATTGATATGTGTGTCGCATATTACCATGGTTGAGGAAAACTGGGAATTGTAAGATTTGTCGGTGACACCTCTGCCACATCTTACACCATTCTGGAGCAAAATCTTTCCAGTTGGTAAGACTCCATTGGGCGTCGACCCTTTTGAGATACCATGGGGACAAACAAGTTAGATCATAGGGTATCTCTTTATGCATTCCAAACTGCATCTTGACACGGTCGTTGTGGTGCATCTCTACAACATTGAACTGTATGATTGCAGTCTTTACGCTCTAAATTATTGCATCCTCGGAGTTTGGTTCATGGTCCAAACCCAAATATGGTCTCTAGATAAACCGTGGATAAAATTAAATCAGCTTAATGAAAACGTAATAAATAAATAATTTAAAAGTAGAAAAGTTCAAAGGTATGACGTACATCATCCGGGCCAAGGTGATCCAATAGATTGTGATATAGAGCGACATTGAATCTTGGATTCTTGCCGTAATCCATACTCGTCACGCAGTACCTAAAGGAATTGAAAAATAATTTATTTTTATCATATATTTGGTGAACAGATGAATAATAAATGATATAAGTTATTGACTTACTTTGTTGCGTATGGGAAAATGAATGTGTTATTGTTGACGGGGTTTAGGGACTTCATTCTCCACCAACCCCAGGCTTGAAGTAAGAAAACACATCCATAAAAAGTACATTTTTCCTTGGTTGCATTTTTACACAAGGAACTGTATAGATGGACTAAAACAGCAGAACCCCAACTATACTTTCTAGTTTTTTCAAAGTTTCTAAGTAAATTTAAATACATGAAATTTACACTATTCCCCATACTTTCAAGAAATAAAAAGGTTCCAAAAAGTATCATTATATAATTTTTAGCTTTTATTACCTTAGCTAGCTCGGAGGAATTTTCCTTCAACTCCAGAGTCGCATAATGATTTTTGAGTTCAGTAAGTAGTATACCCTGGCCTCTAGCACCACCACCTTCAACCATACCTTTCCTAACAATTCCTTTCATAGAGAATTGGGTTGTTGAACCGACCTGTTAACCGCCTTACCGTCGACATGGAGACCCAATAACATGTACACGTCCTCTAGTGTGACGGTACATTCACCTATTGGTAGATGAAATGTGTGGGTCTTTGGTCTTCACCTTTCCAACATTGCAAGTATGAACTTTGAATCAATCGTGCACTTGGAGATCTTTATAACATTTCTGAAACCTGCGCATTCGAGATAGGGCATGATCAACGGGTCGGGAGCAAGGTAGTTGTGTAACCGGATTCTGGATCTTATAGTATCCTAAATTCAAAATGCAAAAAGTGTAAGAGTCCATAAGATGTATAAATCATTAATAGAAGTATAAAAAATTTATAAGTATACAAGAACTTATAAACGCTGCAATATTGTCCCTTGTGCCTCTGTGAGAATCGCCCATTGTGATAAGAGCCATAGTTGAAATTGTCTGAGATTTTGAAAGAGTTTGTAGCAGAGAGTGAGATAATTGTTGATGCAAAAGAAGTATGTCAGGATCTGTATTTATAGGAATTTTTTTATCATTTAGTGAATAAATGAGGTGATTGGTGGATGCATGCATGCATGATAAGTGTCACTCTTGCAGTGTAGGTGCGGGCTAGGTGACATCCTTGAGGAAGGCATCTTTGCATTCATGTAATACGATTAGATGTGTATAGAGGCGCCAATGGACTTGGAGAATGAATACAAAATTGAAAGGTGTCGCCATCCCAGTTGGCGAATTAGATGTGGCATGGGTTGCAGTGTAGGTGCAGGCTATTTGACAGCCTTGGGGAAGAAATCTCTGCATGCATGTAATACGATTGGGCATGCAGGGAGGCTCCATTGGACTTGGAGAATGAGTACAAAATTGAAAGGTGTTGCCATCCTAGTTGGCAAATTAGAGGTGGCATGGGTTACAGTGCAGGGGCAGGCTAGTTGACAGCCTTGGGGAAGGCATCTCTGCATGCATGTAATATGATTGGATGTGTAGGGAGGCGCCATTGGACTTGACGAATGAGTACAAACTGAAAGGTGTCGCCATCCTAGTTGGCGAATTAGAGGTGGCATGGGTTGCAGTGTAGGTGCAGGCTAGTTGACAGCCTTGGGGGAGGCATCTCGACATGCATGTAATACGATTAGACGTGTAGGGAGGCGCCATTGGACTTGACGAATGAGTACAAAATTGAAAGGTGTCACCATCCCAGTTGGCGAATTAGAGGTGGCATGAGTTGCAGTGTATGTGAAGGCTAGTTGACAGCCTTGGGGAAGGCATCTCTGCATGCATATAATATGATTAGACGTGTAGATAGGCGTTATTGGACTTGGCGAATGAGTACAAAATTTCAAGGTGTCGCCATCCCAGTTGGCGAATTAAAGGTGGCATGGGTTGCAGTGTAGGTGCAGGCTAGTTGACAGCCTTAGGGAAGGCATCTCGGCATGCATGTAATACGATTGGACGTGTAGGGAGGCGCCATTGGACTTGGAGAATGAGTACAAAATTGAAAGGTGTTGCCATCCCAGTTGGCGAATTAGAGGTGGCATGGGTTGCAGTGTAGGTGAAGGCTAGTTGACAG